GGTTACCACCTGTGGCATGGGGCCAACCTGAAGCCTTTAAAAAAAAAAATTAATTAGAGGGACCAGCAGTTAGCGTAATGGCTATGTCGCTGGACTCCCATGTAGTCGACCGCGGTTCGAGTCCCAGACCCGGTGACTTAAACTCACACTGGGTGCGTGTGCATGTGCACTCAAGATCCTGAGAGGAGAATGAAGGAGTAGGGATTGCGGCGTGGCTATCCCCCCTGGGGGGTGATTTCTTGCTTTCTGTCTCTCTATCTCTCTCTGTCTGTCTGGCGAGCACATGTACCCTATAACAAAACAAAACAAAACAAAACACTGTCCAAAAAAAAATTAATTAGTTAATTTTATGAGAGAGAGCATAAAAGAGACAGATATACTCAACAGGATCTTATCATGCCATGATCCTCACCCTGCCAGCCTTTCAGCCAGCCAGGAGCACAGGTGCACCCAACATGTTCAGGATCCAAACTCTAGACCTTCTCATATGACTCCAGTAACATAGTGATACTCTACTGCCTGCACCCCTGCAGCTGGGCCACAATGATGCCCTTATGTTCTGGTAAGTAGGGTATGGCCACGTGACAAAGCTGGCCCTGATCAAAGTAGGTCCAGTTCTACTTCAGGTGCCACCTCGATGCTAGAGAGTGCAAAATGGGGCAAATATATGTCCCCAGATAAATAAAAATATGGCCCCCACATTCTGACATCTAAGTGAGGGAGGAAAGGCTTTCACTCTTACTCTGAATTGCTTTCCCTGGGTTGGGAGTCCCCTGACACAGGTACTTATCCTCAAAGAGGTCCAACTCTGATTTGGCAGTTTAGCTATGAAATATGTCCCCCTCGAACAAACATTGTATTGATTATCAGCTGGGAGCTGGCCGCTCTGCCACAGCTTGTGGTTACAGCAATGAATACAACACAGGTTCCAGCCCTCAAAGGATTCTCGTAGTATAATCGAGGAGGAAGGTGCGAGAATCAGCACTTACAAGCCAGCATGAGAAGGGAGAAAGCTCCCGGCACCATGGGTGCACAGAGGAGGGGAAGCAGAGAAGAGAGGCCTCTGAATGAGAACAGTCAGAGAGGAGCGAAGAAGTAAGCTGGAATGAGAAGACTGAGCCAGGTAGAAGAAAGAAGGGCATTGCAGGCTGAGGATCCAGCATATCCAGGCCTGATGCTGCTTCGCGACAAAGTGGGTCTCCTTGCAAGACTGTGCTAGCTTGACGTAGCATGAGAGATCCTGGAACGAGAAGGCTGGGAGTCTGGGTGCTGTACTCGGCATGGTTTCTGATTCACTAGGGCTTCCCGGACGATAACGGGCAAGGGCTATGTGAAATGAGATGATCTACGTGCATGAGGCAGTCAACAGATGCCAGTGACTCGGGAAGGGGGAGAGAGGCCCCCCAGGGGAGGTGACAGTATTCTTACCTCCTTGTCATAGTGTGGTGTTTAAGAGCCTAGAAGCAGCCACTGGCTCCGCACAAAATCACATCTGTATAAATAATCTTAGAAATGCCATTTCAAATGAGATGCAGACTTTACAGTGATAAAGTTAGCAAATAAAAATAAATACTGTGTGTGGCAAGGGCATGGGAAGAACACGCATTCTTATACGCTGCTGGTGGGAGCACAACTGGGTCAACGTTTCTAGAGGGCAATTTGGCAACATGTGTCAAACTCCTTAAGAAAGTGCTGGATGCAGTGGTGAGCCTATGGTCCCTGGAGGCCAACACAGGAGGACCATGAATTCAAGGCCAGCCTCAGTAACACAGTAATTTTCTCAAGAAATTAAAAAAAAAAAAGAAAAGAAAAGTGACCACTCTTTGGGCCTGCAATAGAATCTAGTATTTCATCCAAAGAAAACAACCAGATATACAAATATTTACGAACAATATTTATCATGGATTTATTTAGATGGTTAAAAAAAATGGGTATCCTGAAATATTCAACAATAGGAGATGGGCTAAACGAATTATGGATTGGCCCAATGATTGAATACCGGGTAGCACTATAAACAAGGCTTGCAAGAAATAATGATTTCATGAGAAAAGGCTTACAATATAATGTTTAGTGAAAAGATCAGAAAACAATGCTCTATTTACAGACAAATGCTAGAAAGAAAAAAATGCACCCGTACACATCGGCTGTATTTACAGTCAGTTTCTGGGAATAAAAGCACACAGACCCATCACTAAATATAAATGACTGAGAAAAACAACAGGGTGTTCAAAATGGTTGACTCTACATGGAAAGTTTCATGAAGCTCTTGTTTCCTTTTATGTCTGTTTTTTAGCATTTTTCATATTTATGGAGATGAGTATAGTAATGCTATAATCAAAAAAAGTATAAGAGAGCCAGCCCTGTAGTTCAAGGGTTAAGGGAGCTGGATCCCACACTTTCACTGTGGTTCCAATCATAGTCCTAGAGGCTTGAAAAACACGCCAGATGCAGGTGTGTGTATGTGTGTGTGTGCGTGTGTGCTCAAAATCCTGATGGGAGGGATTAATGGTGGAAAACGGATTGTGGAGTGACCATGCCCCATTGGGAGGGTGCTTTCTCTCTTCCTCTGTCTCTCTCTTTTTTTTTTTTTTTTTTTTTTTTGGCAGCACACACACCCTCTGGCAGTAAAAAAAGAAATGCATAAGAAATGCTATTTCTTACTTCATTATTGAATTAAAATACTAGGGTGTGAATGCAGCGGTCCTGGTTTAGTTGCATATCTTTGGTGGCTCTCTTGGTCTCCCACATTTTTCCAAGTAGAAATTAAGAACTAGCCCTCTGGGGACCAGCACCTGGCATAATGGCTATATCTGGACTTCCATATAGTCGACCGCGGTTCGCGTCCTGGACCCAGTGGCTTAAAACTCACGCCGGGCGCGTGTGCGTGCGTGCCTAAGATCCCAAGAGGAGTATGGAGGAGAAGGGATTGTGGCATGGCCATCCCCCCTGGGGGGTGATTTCTCGCTTTCTATCTCTCTTTCTCTCTGTCTGGTGAGAACACACACCCTGTGGCAAAAAAACTCTCAAAAAAAAAAAAAAAAAAGAATTAGCCCTCTGGATCCTCAGAGATCTGCTAGATGCTCAGTGACCCCTACGCTCAGGAGTTCTATATCTAATTTCAGGAGCAGGAATATGAAGAGTGTGTGCTTGTGTCCACCAGAGGCAGTCAGAGCAGAAGAGAACAGGCAGAGGTGGGAAGGCTTTATTCTGGGACCTGAAAGAGGAGTAGGAATTGTGGTGGGCAATGGGCAGAAAGCATTTCAGAGTGGGGAGACGAAGAAAAAGTTCAAAAGTGAGCTCAGTAAGATGTTGGGGGCAGAAGGGAAAACTGGGCAGAGTGGCAGGTTTGGGATGTAGAGCAGCAGGTCACAAAAGCAGGTACATTTGGTTCGTGGCTTCCTTGGAAAACTGGACTGAGGTACTTGGTTGGGAAGGAGCACCCAATAGAGAATGCAACAAAAAGTACTTTCTTAAGATTAATCCTGGAGAGGACCAGCAGTTGGCGTAATGGCTATGTTGCTCAACTCTCATGTAGTCTACCGTGGTTTGAAACCCGGACCCGGTGGCTTAAACTCACGCCAGGTGTGTGTGTGTGCGTGCCCAAGATCCCGAGAGGAGAATGGAGGAGAAGGGATTGTGGTGTGGCCATCCCCCCTGGAGGGGGGGGTGATTTCTTACTTTCTGTCTTTCTGTCTCTGTCTGTCTTTCTGGCAAGCGCATGCACCCTATAGCAAAAACCTGTCAAAATTAAAAAAAAAAAAAAAAGAAAGAAAGAAAAGGAAAGATTAATCCTGGGATGGTGTGCAAGATGGTTCAGAAAGATCCCTGAAGCAGATAAAGGTTTTTAATTTATTATATCTACATACCCAGAGACAAATACGAATACCAGCAAAAGGCACTCAACAATAAAACATACACCACTAAAAACAGTGGCTGCCAGCAAACTGCAAAATAAAATGGCAGCTGAAGTCAAAGAGGATCAAATTCCAAAATAGTCTACCAACTGATGTGCAGAGACTGAGTTTGCCTGTGCTTTTACTGTTTGTATAGTTTCTTTCTCTTTCACTTTCGCTTCTCATTTCTCGAACATCTGGAATATGACATTGTGCCCATCTTTCCATTTAGAAATTTAGTAGTACATTATTTTACAGATGAGGTTTTCTGAACTGAATGTTATATGGGTCATTTCAAATATAATTTAAATAACTCACGCCGGGCGCATATGCGCACATGCCCAAGATCCCAAGAAGAAAATGGAGGAGAAGGGATTGCAGCGTGGCCATCCTCCCTGGGCGGTGATTTCTCGCTTTCTGTCTCTCTATCTCTGTCTGTCTGGCAAGCGCATGCGCCCTATAGCTAAAACCTCTTCCAAAAAAAAAATATATATATATAATTTAAATAAAATTTCCTACTCAAATTATTTTAAAAAATGGAGGACTATCCAATGGCCTAGTGGTTGAGGGAGCCAGATCCCACATGGCCAACCACTGTTTGAATCGTGGTTCCAGTGGTTTGAAATTCAGGGTGCTGAATGTGTGTGCATGTGTGCCCCAAATCCTGAGAGGATAGAGAACGGGGGGAGAAGGAATTCTCCATGCCCCACTGGCATCTCACTCTCCCTCCTTCTTTTTCTCTGTCTCTCTGGGGAATGCATGTGCCCTCTGGAGAGGAGCAGGAGAGTGAGGAGGAGGGTAAGAACATTCCCTGAGGCAGGAAAGCCAGCATGAATGCTCTCATGGGTATGTAGGAAAGGAATCAGGCTTAGGCACCGCTATTCTTTGGTTGGAGTAAGGATGTTCTCAACATCTCAGGTAAAGTGCTTCTCAGATGCAGCATCTAGATGGGCCTAGTCTTTTGGAACTGATTAGCCATCAGAGACCTCTTCTGTATGGAGAATTTTAGATTAACCACAGACGCAAAATCTGGGTTAGCAGGTTGAATAATGAGACTGGGAGGCTTGTCTGTAAATAGGTCACCTTCTAAATTTATTTTAAGTTTTTTTGTTTTATTTTGTTTTGCCATAGGGTGTGTGCACTTGCCAGAGAAAGACAAAGAGCAACAAAGGAAGGAAAGTTAAAAATCACCTTCCAGGGCCAGCAGGTGGCATTTAAAGGCAGTGGACTCCCACATGGTTGACCATGGTTTAAGTCCTGGACCTGGCTTCTTTTCTCACTTTCCCTCTCTGTCTCTCTCTTTTCTCTGGTCAAATTGGAAAATAATAATAATAATAAATAAAAAGTCAAGATAAAAATAATTCTTTAGAGGACCAGCAGTTGGCATAATGGCTATGTCGTTGGACTCCCATGTAGTCGACCGCGGTTCACGTCCTGGACCCAGTGGCTTAAAACTCACGCTGGGCACCTGTGCATGCGTGCCCAAGATCCTGAGAGGAGAATGGAGGAGAAGGGATTGTGGCATGGCCATCCCCCCTGGGGGGTGATTTCTCGCTTTCTGTCTCTCTGTCTCTCTCTTTCTGGCGAGTGCACGCACCCTATAGCAAAAACCTCTCAAAAAAAAAAAAAAAAAAAAAAAAAAACACCCTTCAAAGGTCGACCTCCTGTTACTGATTATAACAACAGATACATCTCCTGTAGGCGTGGCCTATGCCAGTCACTGACAGACCAAATGTGCATCCAGAGGCCATAGTTTAGGGTCAGGCAAGCATCGTTGGCCTGCGGTGCTTGCTTACAAAATTGCCAAACTGCACATTTTTTCACAAATCCTTGCAAAGCAAGTTTCTGTGACTTTTCTATGTGCTGCTCTGTTTGCCTTTATTTGGAAGTGTCTAGTCTTTGTGCTAATCCTTGGGAAATGACGAGGATTGCCTTGAAAAATTATTAGCATCAGTAGGCATAATGGGACACAAGGTTTTGTAACCACACGCCAAAAAAGAATAAGACATCAAATTCTAGAATGACCCTTTTTCGTTTCAACCCTTCAGCCTCCACTGCAGAGAGGTCCATTCCAACTGCTCAGATGAAGCTGAAAAGAGCCCGACTTGCAGATGATCTCAATGAAAAAATTGCTCTCCGGCCAGGGCCCCTGGAGCTGGTGGAGAAGAACATTCTCCCTGTGGATTCTGCTGTGAAAGAGGCCATAAAAGGTAGGTTGGGCAAAAGTCATGTCTGTCATTGGTGCTCCCTAACTCTAAGGACAGCCAGAACCCTTGACATGCTAGTGACGTGGGGTTAAAGCCTCTTCCTAGACAAGAGTCATTCTGTTCCCCATAACCACAGGTCCAGAGGAAGAAATGCCCACCCACATTCTCTTTAAGATCAAGTCAACATAGAGCAGTTTTGCTCTAGTCAAGCAAGTCGGAGACCTCGAAACATCTTCCCGAGTCCAGTCACTTAGACGCCATGGTCACAGCCCTCTTTGGCCTTTCTTCTTTTTTTAAGCCTATTTGCTTATTTATTTCAAGAATGAGAGAGAAAGAGATAGCACCTCTGTAGGGCCTTGACACAGCATTCTAGCCTCAGCCTCAGCCAGCCTTGGACTATAGGACAGGCATGGCCAGTGTACTCAGGGAGGTCTCTGGACATGAGCCTGGCACCGTCCCACATGTGACAGCCTTGTAGAACGTTCCACCTTACATATCGCTGTGCCACCATCTAGCTCCCTAGCCTTCCTTCTTTAAAGAAGGTGGGTCAGTACTGTGGAAAGAGTACTGGCCCAGAACTGGAAGACCAAAACTCCAAGCTCGTTTAGCTTCTCCATGCTCCGCTTGCCCAAGTTGCTTCTCTTTGCTGAGGTGGAGATGACAACACTCACCCTGCACGCCTCACAGGCTCTGGGGAACGAGGCGTGTGTCGTTCAGCGCACGTGAAACGCATTGACAGCTCTCGGGTGTGCTGTGAGGTCAGAGTGCAAAGGCTCAAGGAGGAGACACAAACAGTAAGACTGTCATAGAGTGAATAAAATCACTTTGTAGATATTTTAAACAACTGCCACCAAGTGGACCTGAATACCCTGCAAGTACTGAATTCATTTGTGGAGGGTTTGGAGTGGAACCTAGGGAAACTATTGTAAAAAAGAGAAAGGGGAGCTCAGCATTCCCATAGCAAACCTACTTTCTTCCAGTTGTGCCCACCAACAGCTCCAAGAACTATTCTTTTTTTTTTTTTTTGGAGAGGTTTTTGCTATAGGGCGCGTGCGCTCGCCAGACAGGCAGAGAGAGACAGAGAGACAGAAAGCGAGAAATCATCCCCCAAGGGGGATGGCCACACCACAATCCCTTCTCCTCCATTCTCCTCTCGGGATCTTGGGCACGCACGCACACGCACCCGGTGCGAGTTTTAAGCCACCGGATCTGGGACGTGAACCGCAGTCAACTACATGGGAGTCCAGTGACATAGCCATTACACTAACTGCTGGTCCTAATATTCATTTGTTTTGACATGTTGTCAACCAGTCTGTATGGTGTAAGTATTATGGAACTTGTCAGTGAATTTTTTTTTTT